CCCCTTTCGCCGACCCCCAGCGTGCCCTCTGACCCTTCCCAGCCTTACCAGCCAGAGCCGGCGTTTGAAATATTAATCGTGACTTACACGCGGCGTTCCGGTACCAGGCGGCATTTCTATCTTTGAATTATTAAGTGACCACCCGCCTAGGAGTTACACAGGCGTTGGCCGTCGCGGCGCCTGCTCTTCAAGTTCTCTTCGTTTCCTGAGCCCCATTGGCCAAGCATACCGGAAGTACGTCAGTGGTCTCCGCACTCGACCTCAAGCACGGGAATAAGGTAGAAATTATAGTGGAGAAAAAAAAGTTATGAAAATTTTAAATAGATCGAACAGTGTCGCAGGTGGCGCCACCACGTTACGTACCCGCGGCCAAGATCTGTACTATATTTAGACCCTCGGACGGCGTCCCAGCTCCGATTCGATCTTTACGCCGGCGATGCCCACGCTAAACTGCTAATAGGACGGGAGTTTTAAATGCGCCTAACGTAATAACGCATGCATTAGGGCTGCTGCTGCTCTCAGTCCCGGGAACCCGGTGAATTCCCGGCAAGGGGTAGTTTGCCTGACAACTCGATTACGCTACCCTGAGTGGCAAGTGCCGGGGCAGAACCAAAAGCCACCCCCTACGTCTTGCATATCGCGGGGGTAGATGGCCATGGAGCCAAATCTATTATTTGACTCGAGCCAAGGGACATTTACTTTCTTTTCATCCCTGATGAAATTCTCATTCACCTGGTCCACGTCTCGTTTACCGGTGTCCAAAGTTCCTCCCAGCATCTACGGAACCTACGAGGCTGGAGTTTCCTGACTCTCCGGGCGATACCCTCGGTTTACGCAACAGTTCTGGTTTACCATCCTGGGATTACGAGGCTCTTCAAGAGACTCAACCCCTCCGAGCCTGGTACCGTGCTAGCGCTACCCCCCCGAAGACCGATAGGATCTAACTGGTATCCGGCGGTATCAAGCATTCCCTAACGATTATTACTCGGACTTGGAATTAAACTGATGTCATCCACCCTTAACGATTATTAATCTCCCGTCTTGGGTAGGCTTGCGATTATACGATTACCGGACTTTCATTACGTACAATGGCTATAGGAACTAGCCCTCTAACTGTTTTACGGGGGATGCCTGTGGTACCTGTGCTAAACAATTTATCGTCCTGCACCAACCCCTGTTGCCCAGACTGCACCCCTGCAACCCTGCAGCGGCGCATGTTGCGGTGCCGCACGGTCTTGTAGCCCAGAGACTACTGGAGTCCATGTATTCTACCACCCTTATGGGTGCATAGGCCTAGCTTATGAAACCTCCGTGATACACGATTTACGGTTATGTCGCCCAAAGGAGCAAAGTTCGCCAGCGGAATTCCCGGAGACTACGGAATCGTACTATAGTACGTCCACGTGCACGGGGATGATCAACCCGTATAAATAGAATTGTTAATCTAGATTCTATTAGGTAATAGCTTGCCTATAAATTTTTCGAAATTATTTCAAATTATTTCAATCAAAAACACGTGGTCGATAAAAAAATGTTTTTTTTTCTTTTATTAATATTATTTTTTAAAAAACCTTGCAGCTATTTCCTTTTACGGGTAATTTTATTCGGCACGTAGAAGTGTACACGTGGGGGTATTTCGTACGAGCACGTAGCCATATTGAAGACCCGAGGATTTTGAGAATTTCCCATCGACGCAAACGGGGTCGCGATTGAAATGGAACACGATTTAAAGGTAACCCAATTGCCGGGTCGATCGCTCCAAGTGAGCTTCCTGTAATTCGACGTTCAAAGCGATTCGCAGTCACGTGAAATCCGGTCATGCGATCCGACGTCATTAAATTATTCGTTTCGCGAAGCGAGAAAGAGACGGAAGTAAAGGTGAACGGACGAGGAAGACGGAGAGAAATGGAAGAGAGAACGAGGACATCAGACATAAGAGAAAACTTTGGCCAAATACGAGTCGTGGAAGAAACGGAAAGCGAACACGCTCTTCCCATCGAACTTTTCGATTAGCCTTCAATGCTGATGTTCCCGGGGCCAGTCACGCACTTCGAACCAATCTAAATTCGACAATTATTTATTTTCCCTGCAAATCTTCGAATCTTAAATGGCGTCGCAAAAAAAAATTTTTACAAAAACTCAAATGATTAAAAATACTGAACGAGTGATAAGAATAAACGGGCATGGCACGGGGAAAAAAAAAAAAAATATAGAGCAAACAGATTTGCCTCGGGTGAGGAAAGGCGTTTGGAATAATTCCTTAAATTTTTGTTCGGTCACCCCCTGCCTCTTATTTTTTTGATAACAATTGCATAAGACACTCCCCACGTGTCGCGGTTTGACAAGTCAAGGGTAAAAGATAAAGATGCTGCACTCGCAGCGTGTTCTGGTTTGAGTCGTCTCGAGACTCTCGTTAGAAATTTATGGACTTCCTGAAAAATCTTGAAAACACACCATTAGCGGGCTGATCCCGCGCGGCAAGTTCAGGACGGCGGCAGGTTAAAGGTGGGACGAAGAAGGAGGAAGGAAAAGTGTGAGAAGGAGAGAGAGAGAGAGAGATGGAGGTAAGACGAGCGAAAGAGGGAGAGAGAAGGACAGAGCGTCTCTCTCTTGAATCTTGAGCTAAGAAAAGCAGCGGCTTTTAGCGAGTGCCACGGTAACGTCAGAACGGATCAACCGAACCCCCGAGACCCGAAGACTTCGCGCTATTTCTTTCCTGCTTCCCGCCTCTCCCTGTTCCACCCACTTTGCTTGCCATTCGAAATTCGCGCCACTCACGTCAGCTGCCAATAGTTCCTATTCCCTCGTACTGCCTGAGAGGTAAAAAAAAAAAAAAAAAAAAAAAAAAAGCGCGAGATTTCGTGACCGGAAAAAAAAAAAAAAAAAAAAAAAAAAAATCCTAAACTTGCAACGTCCAAGAGACACGATAGGCCATAAACTACAAACTCCGAAATCCCTATCAGGTTGGACCACGAGGCCCTTCCCAGCGAAAGCTAAATGCAACAACGTTCTTCCACGTATAAACGAACCTACGACCAATCAGTCTGCAAAATTCATTCCAACGGCTGTAACGTATAACAATGCTAATAAATCGACCCTGGCTCGTAAGATACAATAATTCCTATAGCAGCCACAGAACATGGCAAAAAGTAGTCTGAGCTCTTCGTACAGACTCGACGTGCGGTTGGGTGACACTTTGTACAAGATACGAAGTGATGAAATTCCGTGGCCCGTAAGGGTGGTTCGGGTGGGAGGAAGGACGACGAGGGCGCCACTGGTAATCGGCGACCACTGAAACGGAACAAACCCAGAGAGACGCGGCACTACCGCGGGCAAGAATAATACACGGGGAGTACAGCATAACGGAGGGCTCTATTAATTGAGTCTGTCCCCTCTCTCTCCCACCCAGCCACCCACAGATATTCCGCACTCTCTCGCACCCACTTCGACTCCCAGCCTCTTTCACCGAGCCTTCAAAATGCTTTCCGCCGATGCTGGGGATCCGAGATCAGGACCCGCTTCTTTACCCCGATCTTAATTCGGTGTCTGATCATCGTATCCTTCGGCCCCTCCCGCCTCCCCCCGCAACCCCCCATCGTATCGGTTCGTCCTACTTCAACGCAGCCTCTCTTTTCGTTTGACGCTGGCAGCATCCATCCAGCACGGAATCCGTGGTCCTTCCGTCCGACGGAGCAGCTACGCGCCAGCCAGACAGATCAAAGCGCGACGAAGCGAACGAACGAGTCGCAAAAGAAATTTTCCTCCTTCGGCAAGAGAAAGCCGTTCCTACGAATTTCACGACGGTGAAAGCACTCGGCACTCGGATACGGGCTACGAGGATCCCTCGTTACTCCTTCCCTCGGTCGCGCCACTCGTTTATCATTAAAGCAACTTTTTTAGATTAATACGTAGAAACGTCCCGGGATCAGGACGCAGACCTCACCTCCACGTGGAAATTAACGAGGAGAGTTCTGGAAATTGTTGGGCTTTCCCTCTTGAGAATTCCTGTAGCCAAGAACCGACACCGAGTCTGCCATCTGCGCATTGGGAATTTCTGGACCAAAAGGATTTTCTCAGAGTGTAACACGTATATCGGGAATCGGAGAGACATTGTCAAATGGGGTAGGGGGATGAACCCGGAGGGGGGATGAATCGGCGGGAGCAGAGATATTAAGAGAATCGCAAAGCCGTTTCAAAGGAGGGGGGGGGGGGGGGGGGATGCTGGATGAAGTTGGGGCTGAAACTAATTTTGGCAATATTTAAACCATGCCCGAGGGACCAAAGTGGGTGACCTTCTGCAAAGGGCAAGCGGCAGGGCGGGGGTGAAAGAAAGTGAAAGGGACTTTCACTGACGTTGAGATCGGTTTTCCGAGCAATTGATGGAAAATGATGAACGAGCCTTAAAAAAGTGCCTTTATTGCTCCCGATCCTTCGTACGTATAGGTATCCCTTCGATATGTAGGTTTTTGGGAAAAAAAAAAAAAAAAAAAAAAAAAGGTAGAGAAAATGCGGCGGGAGTTTGGATTCCTCAAAGCAAAACTTTACCTCAGATCGATCTGTATCCATCTTTCTACCCGGAGATGAAGCGACTTGACGGAATTTAATGCGCGTGGGAGCGAAAGAGACGGATGGTAGGGATGAAATTGACAGGGGCGGTGGGTGCTCGATAAGCTGCTTAGAAATACCCAATTATGATTGAACGCTGATAGCAGCTTCCTAATTAACGACAATAATCCCTCATTTCGGGAGGCTGCCGAGTACTCTGACTAATTCCGACTAATTGGTCGATCGAATTATTGCCGGCGTGGGACAGAAATGCTTTTAACGTGCAGCCACCTCCTGCCTTATCACGCACCCTTAATACCGTTTCGTTCAACCCTCTTAGGATTTTGGTCCAGCCATATATTCCGCCCCTGTTTATAGCGGGCGTCACTGAAAACTGTCTATCAGCTTCCTGTGGGCTACTGTACCATGGGAAGATCTCGGTACGAGCTACTCACTTCCGTATTGCTGGGCCAGAAGGGAGGCGAAGACCTGGCCAGGACTTCGGGCTCCCCTTATATTGGGTCCTGATGACGTAACGGGCCCCACCACGGCATGACGCGTGTTGTCCTCCTCGTCGCTGCTGGATGCTGGAGCGCCACCGTAGCCACGTCGTTCCCGCCACTCCAGGGACCGTTGCCGACGCAAGCCTCGGCCCCCGTTCGCGTGCCCACGGCCCAGGGTGCCCTCGCCGTCCATCACTGTTGCATCTGAAAAAAAGGGGGAAAAATGGAAAAATGAAAAAATTGGTGATAATGAAATTTCTTAAAATAATAATTACGAGTCGTGCGTGAAATATAGTTTGGTGATTTTTTTGATTTTTTTTTTTTTTTTTCTGGCACCATGAGTGTCTGTAACTTTGTACCTTATTGTTAGGGACTCCGAGTTGGACGTGGGAGAAAAAGGGAAGGGATCCGATCGGGCTGGGAGTTTGGTAAGTTTTGGAGGAAAAAAAAAAATCGACGCGCAATTCAATTAAAGAAAACAAATACCAGTGTTTACCGTCGACGACGTGAGCAGCCGACGGAATTGGCCGGGGAATTTGCTCGGCAAATATAACGTAAAAATTTAATTAAATGAAAGTAAAATACAAACGCCACGGCGACGTGGTGGCGCTCGCGATTCCTATGGCTATGGTAGCCTGTACCATCGGGCGTGGACGTCCTATACCATAGGCGCTATGGAACTCTGGCTGCGGCGGAGTATCGATTTAATAAGTGCTGCGGTTATCGTCCTTTCATTTCCATTCACTTTGTTTTGTCTTTTAGTCTCGACTCTTATTTGGCCAGTCTGACGATTTCTTCGTGCTCCCGTTTTCCTATACAGCCTCGGCCATTGTCGACGGCGGCTCGCTTTTCCTTTATTACTTTCGAGAGGCGTCCCGACGCCGGAATTACTTTAACCAATTTAGCCGCGATACGAGATTCGGCACGCCTCCGACCTCCGATGGTTTTGGTGCTTGCAATTTTTTTTTTTTTTTTTTTTTTTTTTCCATTACTTAACCGTCTTTCCATTTCGCTTAGCCAAAAACGAACCAAGCGGAATCGAGGTGACGTCAGCGTATTGTAAAAATTTTTTTAATTGTACAAAATAGCTGAAAAATTTTTTTACCCCTTGATCAACTTTTTTTTTCTCACTCGACCGACCAACAAAAAAGTCACACTAGAGTCGGAAGACTTTTTTTGGTTCGCTTTGTTTTATTGGCCATTTGGGTTGGTCTTGAAAAATCTCATTTTAACACTCTGCACATTGTTCCACTATAGGGTCGAGGGAGAATGAGAACGAGAGTGAAAAACGACCCCAAAGAGCCGATGAGACGTTATGCAAATCGTGTCCGCGAAATTAGGTGATCGGATCCCTGTTGGAATTCAAAAAGAGTCGACTCCCCAATTTCTTCTTCCTCTTTTTCCTTCAATTAAATTTCGAAACGCCATCAAAGTAACGCCTACGTATTTCGATGTTTAATTAATTTCTTTACGCGCCCGATAAAAATCGTTAACACGAGTCACGGCCGTTCGAGTATTTCCGAAATACGATTCAAAGGAAATGCAAAAGACATCCAAATACAGTATGGAAAGTACATATTCTCTCTGTCATTCCCACGTGGTATACCAGTACGACAAACCACTAGTACGATCATCCCTTAAAACCAGCACTGGGAGCATATACCCACGAAGTATCGACTAGTCGAACCATTGGAAACTACCCTTAACAAGCAGTCCTCAAGCTACATTATTTAATTACAATTAATTTCTTTACGCGCCCGATTAAAATTTTTAACACGAGTCACCGTTCGAGTATTTCCGAAACAGGATTCAAAGGAAATGCAAAAGACATCCAAATACAGTATGGAAAGTACATATTCTCTCTGTCATTCCCACGTGGTATACCAGTACGACAAACCACTAGTACGATCATCCCTTAAAACCAGCACTGGGAGCATACACCCACGAAGTATCGACTAGTCGAGCCATTGGAAACTACCCTTAACAAGCAGTCCTCAAGCTACATTATTTAATTACAATTAATTTCTTTACGCGCCCGATTAAAATTTTTAACACGAGTCACCGTTCGAGTATTTCCGAAACAGGATTCAAAGGAAATGCAAAAGACATCCAAATACAGTATGGAAAGTACATATTCTCTCTGTCATTCCCACGTGGTATACCAGTACGACAAACCACTAGTACGATCATCCCTTAAAACCAGCACTGGGAGCATACACCCACGAAGTATCGACTAGTCGAGCCATTGGAAACTACCCTTAACAAGCAGTCCTCAAGCTACATTATTTAATTACAATTAATTTCTTTACGCGCCCGATTAAAATTTTTAACACGAGTCACCGTTCGAGTATTTCCGAAATACGATTCAAAGGAAATGCAAAAGACATCCAAATACAGTATGGACAGTGCATATTCTCTCTGTCATTCCCACGTGGTATACCAGTACGACAAACCACTAGTACGATCATCCCTTAAAACCAGCACTGGGAGCATACACCCACGAAGTATCGACTAGTCGAGCCATTGGAAACTACCCTTAACAAGCAGTCCTCAAGCTACATTATTTAATTACAATTAATTTCTTTACGCGCCCGATTAAAATTTTTAACACGAGTCACCGTTCGAGTATTTCCGAAACAGGATTCAAAGGAAATGCAAAAGACATCCAAATACAGTATGGAAAGTACATATTCTCTCTGTCATTCCCACGTGGTATACCAGTACGACAAACCACTAGTACGATCATCCCTTAAAACCAGCACTGGGAGCATATACCCACGAAGTATCGACTAGTCGAACCATTGGAAACTACCCTTAACAAGCAGTCCTCAAGCTACATTATTTAATTACAATTAATTTCTTTACGCGCCCGATTAAAATTTTTAACACGAGTCACCGTTCGAGTATTTCCGAAATACGATTCAAAGGAAATGCAAAAGACATCCAAATACAGTATGGAAAGTACATATTCTCTCTGTCATTCCCACGTGGTATACCAGTACGACAAACCACTAGTACGATCATCCCTTAAAACCTACACTGGGCATATACCCACGAGCAACTGGAAACTACCCTTAACAAGCATTCCCCGAGCTCAAATATTAATTTTAACCACATTTCATTATTATAATTTTTTTTTCAGATATAAAAATCAAATCATACAAAATCGGAATACAAGATTGCACGTGATGCGAAAGAGGTAAAAAAAATGGCCCGAGCAGAGAAGGGAAGAAAAAAAGAAAGTACAAAATGGCATTGCTCGTCATCGTTTTAATAGAACATTTTTACAGTGGGTTATAAACGTAAGGGGGAGTACGCAGCCATCCGCAGAGCGTGTTATTGCCGTAACTCATAACGTAACGTGACATTAAGGGTTGATAATATAATGGCCGTGTAAAGTATGAAACGTTCCAAGACGAAGGCTGACACGACTTTCTTCCTTCTGACCTTTTCCACTACTATTTTCATCACATTTCCATCCTCCCGACCTACCCCCCACGTTCAGGCACATCTCCCAGCGTCCTTTCCACCCTCTCCCGTCCTTCTTCCACCCTTACAGCTACACGTCCCTCTCTCGCTTCCTCGGGACGTGACATACCCTAGCGTCCATTAATATCGCGCGACATAAAATCCCTAGACGTCGTAAAGTAGGGGTTTTCCAGGATTCGGTATACCCCTAGACGGAATACATTTTAAATCGAGGCTTGTTACTCGCAAATGTCATCCGCGATTACGTAGCTTCTACGTACACTCGATTGAAGCCACTCGCGATTCCTTTCGAAAGAGTATAATGTCGCTTGGAAAAAAAAATTTTTTTTTTTTTTTTTTGAAAAAAAAAATCCCAAGATCATGGCCAGCAGCCACGTCTAACTGAACGGACAAGAAAGCGAAGCAATTAGAGAGACCAGAAATAAAAGTCAGGAGGAGTCAGGAGCGTACCGAGGGGGGGTCGTGGGGGCCTTTGGTAGAGCCTTTATAATTTTATCGTAGCTCTTGAAGAGTGGCAGGAATAATAAGGGGGGAGAAAA